GGACACAAAAACGTATTTCTCTGGGAGTAAGCCCTCTATTTCTTTATATCTCTATGACCGTGGGCCCCAAAATCATGAAAAGTAGCACGAAAGTAGAGCATTATTCCAGAAATTTCGATATGTGACACAAATTATGGTACTTTGTTTATGGTCAAGTGATGCTCGAGAGTGAATGCTTTACTTTAACAATTTATAAACCCATGTGATCTCTCAAATCTACTTCTTTATGCAATTTGTCGAACTATTTTATCGGTCAATGATTCTAAACTTACGTATTATTGGAAAAAGTTATATACATTATGTTGAAAATGAATAATGTCAGGGGGTCGGAGAAAGATAATTGGATATAATGACATACGTCATAGGCTTAAGACACTTTATCATAGATACATAATTCATAAGTTTTTTTAGTTCATGGGGCAGATTTTTTTATTCCGCTTGTCATATTATTTCTGACAAAAGGAAATGCCTACGTTATTAAGGTTATTTGTATAAAGGCCATATGGAAAGGGTGTTTTTTTTTTGTCAGAAAAACTTAATCCTGTGACGTCATAAAAAATTATTTATTTGCTCCCACACTCCCTGGTTAGTTCGTACCAACGAATTTGAGTATTCTTTAATCTACTCATAGTTTATTCAAAACCAGTTAATCATTTTAAAGCCCATGCGGGGAGCGTCATTTGGAGCGTTGGTTATTGAATAAACAAAGTGAATTGAAAGACCCTATCGGGATCAAGTGAGTGATAAACCCAACCCCCCGCCATTTCATAATGTATAAACTTAGGTTCCGAAATATTTTTCGTGTGACGTCACATCTGGCAGAAAACATAAACAAATAACTTTTACTATAGATAACATCTCTAATCAAATTATCATTTGTGCATCGTTTCTCTTACCAAAAAATGGCTTCAATTAATAAAAAAGAAAAAAAGACAGTGTGCAGTTGCTGTTTGTCCTTCTTGGATTCAATGCTCACAATGTATTGTACCACTCCTTTCCAACCAACATCAAACAGAGAAAAGCTTGGACCATCGCATGCAAAAGAGGAGATTCGACATTTCAGCCTGCATCATCCTTTATGTGTAATAATATTTATATAATTATATTATAAACAGTATTTTTGTTTTGTAATAATTTATATATTATATATTTTTTTTAAATATGTATTTTATAATAATATTAATATATGATTATAACCATATTTTATTTTGTATTAATTCATAAATTATATACTTTTTTCTAAATATGTCTTTGTAATATATATATGATTAAATAGTTTTTGTTATAATTTATTTCGTTGTTATTTCGGTGTTACTATGATTTCTAGTCATAGAAAAAAGTGTAAGAGAGAGGCGAAAAATAAAACAGTGGATTAATTAAATTATATACTTTTTTCTAATTATGTCTTTGTAATAATATTTATGTAACATATTATAAGCAGTATTTTGTTTTGTTATAATTTATGATTATATACTTTTTTTCTAAAAATATCTTTGTAATAATATTTATGTAATATATGATTATAAACAGTATTTGTTTTGTAATAGTTTATAAATTATAGACTTTTTTCTAAATAAGTCTTAGTAATAATATTTATGTAATATATGATTATAAACATTATTTTTTTATATTTCATTTTCGTTGTTTTTATGTGTTTTAACATATAATGATTGAAGAGTTTGCTTTTTCATGATGATTATTGGTGGGAATTTGAGCAACTTTAAATCATCAAAATGAATGTAGCTTCTCAAAATTTAATATTTTTCCATTTTTAATAGAATTGTGATAATTAATCTTCTATGATGTAATTAAAGCTAAATTCGATTATATTTAATATTTTACTTATACAATATACCCTCTTTTGCCATATGTGACGTCATGCTCATGAGGTAGGTTGCGTGCGGTGTATTTTTTACTTTCATTGGTTAAAAATGGCTCTACCTTACTTTTAACTACCTTGGATAAACTAAAGCGTTAAAGTATAAACCAAAGGAGAATATAAATATTTATATTCTCCTTGGATATACCTTAGTGTACTAGGTGTGATATAAATAAAGTACCAACATAACTTTCTAACAAGGAACAATATACAAATTTGAAAAATAGATAGGCCCATTCTCTAATAACCCATCTGAGGTAAGTGATGTATGTTTTAATTCCATGTCATCTTTACATATATCTCTTAATCATGATGTCGATTACAATCTATAACTAGAGGCATATATACACTCAGAGAGTGCAACCTCCGCCGTCACGGGGTCCTTATGAGCCTTCCGAGGCGGATTTTTCACGACTGGGCGGCGTAGAGGGACGGGGGAGGGCTCCCCTCGACGGAAATTCCGAGAGGAAGACGCTCCCGGCACCCGATTTCACAGCACAGCGACATCTATTGGCAGAGAGTAGGCTAATTTGAAATATTTATTAGTATTTACTCATTTTGCATCTTAATTCTGCACTCAGAGATGCAAAAATTTAATCACTTGTTCCTTTTGGCCTTTCCAACAACTCCACAAAGTTTTCATCCGAATCTGTTCGGTACTTTTTGAGTTATCCTGCTGACAGACAAACAAACCAACAAACCACACGCCAGTGAAAACAATACCTCCTTCGGCGGAGGTAAAAATATCATAATTATTTTCAGTGGTTTCAGCATAAGATAAATGATCCCTGAGGTTCAATCTAAGGGCCAAACAATCAAACAAAACAGGTATATAAAGACATTGCTCATTATCTATCACTCCTTGCAATACGGAGATGATACTCTAAATCACGGTACCAACCTTGTTCTAATCAGGAGCCAAATTGACGAAAAAATATATTTTTGCAAGAGCCATGTAGCACCACATTAAGTAATTGCACCGCATTATGTAATAATGTATATTTTTTTTGCCTATGGTTTCGGTAGAAGTGTATCCGACAGGATATAAATAAGCATAATCGCATTAATGTATAAAATTTGCAGATGGACTTAAAAGAGCCGTAAATAGTCTTTAATGAACCACATGCGGCTACCAAGCCGTGGGTTGAGTATCGCTGCTCTAAATGATGAGCTCAATGACGACTTTTGTATAAATTCAAAAATGAACACGGCGTTAATAAATTGTGGTTTTTCTGTATTATTTATAGTTTAGTATTAGGATGATTATAAATCCTACAAAAATATATTTTCTTATATGGTGTCTGTCTTAATACAAAGGAAATCCCAATATTTCCCTTAGCCTTTGAGTTCCAAACATACTCCATTAGCGTCTTCTGTGCCAAGTACAAAAAAGTCATTATAAATGCTTCCCATAGCCTTTGTTCAAATGCATCTATGATCATATTTATTAATAAACAAGTAGAGTACTCCAAAAATTTGAATTAACTTCATTCAGTCACGTCCTGTAACATGTACCGATGTTTGAATCGTCATTATACATCGAAAATTTTGGTAGTTGAATTTATTTTGATAGGTGTCCTTCTTTTTGTTTCAATATATATATATATATATGTATATCAGACTTGTTGATTTATCGTTCATTTGTTGTCGTTCGCGAAGGATGAACGACGACGACAAAGTTTTTGACAACACGACGAACGATAAGGAAAACTCCTTATCGTTCGTCGTTCGTTTTTGGCGCCAAAGAAGACAAAGATTTTTAATTTTCATGGGACAAATTTCCTTTTTTTTTAAACCGTCATCACTTTTTTTTCAGAATTTATTTGTAAAAAAACTGTCAATTTTTTCAGAATGGCGAACGACAAACGAACGATGAACGATTCAGATTCAATTTAAAATTAACGACGAACGATAACTTTTGGAACGAACGATAAACGAACGAACAATTTTTTCGCGAACGTCACAGACAAGTCGGTATTAGTATATATTTTATATCATATAAAATATTAGCTAACCATTATAACTATAGCGATTATTAGATATGTAATCCTTTGTTTCGATTATCGGGCGTATGAACTCTTAACTTTTATTGTTCTTGCAAGTAGTAAAAAGTTTCAGAGCCACTGATGTTTTTATGATATTATTAATCAATAACTAGGGGCATGTATACACTCAGAGAGTGCAAACCTCCGCCGATCCCACCAAATGAATCACTTGGTTTTTTGTCATTTCCAACCCTGTACGCACTGTCCTTTTAACTCTACATACTGCTCCTTTAACTCTACACACTTGAATTATAGGGGGCGTTCCCGTTCATCAAGAGGAGAGCACAGCACAGCGACATCTATTGGCAGAGTAGGCTAACTTGAAATATTTATTAGTATTTAGCTCATTTTGCATCTTAAAGAAGCACTCAGAGATGCCAAAGTTTAATCAAGGTTCCTTTTGGCATTTCCAACAACTTCACAAAGTTTCATCCGAATTCGTTCCGCACTTTTGAGTTATCCTGCTGAAAAACAAACCAACCAAAAACCACGCCAGTGAAAACAATACCTCCTTCGGCGGATGGTAAATATTATAGAATCACGATGAGGATGATAAAAAACATTCAGGCTGTTTATGGAATACGATCCATGATATGATCATTAGTTCTGGTAATGTGAATGTAGTATATTTTTTTTAGAAATTAATTTCTGTATTCGAAGGCTTTAAAAAATATAATTATTATGAACATTGCTGGGTAAGACATAACTAAGTTGCGACCCGATATAACTCAATATTTCTTTACTCTCGTAATTAAAGCCTTAAATCAAAAAAATACTTATGATCTTAGTTTATTTTTTAAGAGCTTAATGACATAATTGCCTAAATATATGGATATCTTAATCTCGGCTAATTGAAATCTGATATAGACATTCATTCTAATTAATGTAGGTTTTGAAAATCCATTTTGAAAAAAATGACTATGTAATTAAATAAATACCAACAAATATAAAGTTCCATGATATTGGCTTTATATATTTGTATTAAGAAATATCCAATCTTTTTGAATTTAATTATACTGAGAGCTATATTCCTCTTTTTTATTGTATAAAGATTTTCCTTCTCTTCAATTCAACGAACGTCGGTGGTATAATGGTCAGCATAGCTGCCTTCCAAGTTTAATTTGTTTTAGATTTTACAAAGTAAACTAAACCAAGAAAAGTAATATAATTGAGTCTTTTTTATAATTATTCAATTTTCTAACTCAATAAAGCGTCACGTGGTATATGGTCATAGCTGCCTTCCAAGCAGTTGATCCGGGTTCGATTCCCGGCCGACGCAATAGTTTTATGTTTTATCCTTTTAAAATATCATTATTTAACACTTGAATTGGTTATAGACGTTTAGTATATTCGGTGGCCGACTCAATTTTTATTTATTACGTCATTATTATATTTTTTTGCTAATAATATATAACGCTTTTGTGGTTGACTATCACTTCTATCAAAATAATATTTATGACTTTGCAATTGTGTGCGAATGGAAAGCTTTATTTAAGTATTATTCTCAGTCTTTATCTAAACAAAACGGCAACGTTTGGTAGGAAGGCACTCCAGTGTTAGATACGTCGCGACGCAATTGTTTTGCTATCTTTTTCTACTATTTAGGTCTGATGTTATAAATATTCCTTAATTCAATATAGTAATAGGACATTTATGTAGTTTATTGTTTAATATTAAATTTCTATTTTTATGTATATATTATGTGTATAATAAGTCTTATTCGTCATTTGTCTAAGGAAAACAAACCTTTTTCTCGAGCTTGATAGTTGAAAGAAACAAGAGTAAATGCCAAATGCAATTAGTATTATGCTATAACGACACGCTTAATATGCGACACTGAGGTGCAAACATCAATTCAGAGAAGAATAACATCCACAAGTGTCATTTCATGAGATTCGATCCATGACCTTGACGTATCCCTTTACACACGGACTCCTTCAATTTCTTATCAGAAAGAAGGACCAAATAAAAAAAATGTTGATTTAGTTACTCATATATATGTTGTTAATGGACACAACTACATCTGACTACAAAACGAATAAAAAAAAGGGTTAACTAACTAAAAAATGCTCATTGGTGAATTTGCTTTTTGTTATCCCTATCTTTCAGTATATATTTAAATTTCTTATATTAATATACGAAAAATATATTAAATATTCGTATAGCATTTTTTTAAAGTTATTGAACATTCTTTAGATCATATTAATTCTACGAAAAATAACTTTATGCATGAACTATCTTAAAAATCCATTATCTATAAAATTATAAATATTTTCTGTTTACTTAAACGTAAACAAAGAAAATTTATTTATAATGTTCAAGCATTTGATTTCCTCGGGACTGTTGGTGAAACTATATAAATATATTGGAATCAGCTCTGCTCAGTAATTGATAATAAAACATCGGTCTACTAATATCGATTTGTGTTATTTTGCTGCGATGTCTAACTTTTTAGACTTTCTACTTTTATTAGTGATCCAAGATAAAACTATAGCTATGCAAAATGTGGACTTTTGATACTATGAAATAAATTTACGATTTGAGTCTCTTTTGGGAGCAATCCATTATAAATATTTTAGTTTCGGGGGAAGTGGAGAGGGGGTGCAATCCATTTTTTTTGGCCTATTTGGTTCGATAGAATTGCATCCGACAGTATATAAATACACATTATAACATTAAAATCAGTCACTCGAACCTAAGAATATCTTATCATGAGGTAGATCAAACATGACCATCCCCTCTCGGAGTATTCAAACCCCCACCCCCAACATTAAGAGTTGAACACGCCTTAACACACTCGAATATCGCGCTCGCTATTCCATTTCTCCATGTTTTGGTTTCCAGGGAGAAGGGAGCAAGGTCTGTATAATAGGTCTGGGCAATACAAAAATAAACATGTAATCCTAGCAGTATATCTACTCAATGACGTCACTCGAGAACGAATATATATACATATATATATATATTTATTTTATTTATTTATACAATACATATATATATATTATATATATATATATATATAATATATATATATATATATATATATATATATATAATATATATATATAGTATATTATTTATAGATAGAGAGAGAGATTGATGATACATATATATTGATAGATATAATAGTTCTCCAGTGACGTCATTGAGTAGTCACACTGCTACATGTTTGTTTTTGTATTGCCCCGACCTTATTATACAGACCTTGGAAGGGAGTGCAATTGCTTTGCAATGTTTTGTCTCCGGAGGAGTGCCAAAGATCATATCAATTATGAAATTTATTACCTCCACCGAAGGAGTATTGTTTTCACTGGCGTTGGTTGGTTGGTTTGTTGTCAGCAGGAAACTCAAAAGTGCAGAACGGATTTGGATGAACTTTGTAGAGTTTGTTGGAAATGCCAAAAGGAAAAGGCATCTCTGAGTGCTTCTTTCAGATACGAAATGAACTAAATTCTAATAAATATTTCAAGTTAGCCTACTCTGCCAATAGATGTCGCTGTGCTGTGCTCTCAAAGCGGAGAGTACAGCACAGCGACATCTATTGGCAAATGAAAAAAAGACCAAGTGATTCATTTGGTGGGGATCGGCGGAGGTTTGCACTCTCTGAGTCCTCTAGTTTGTATTGTTTCTCATATTTAAGGATTACAAACGGAGGCCTTTGTCTAAAACCTGATTGGTTGAAGGAAAATGAGAGGGAATAATAAATAAAAAGCCTTTAGCAATATGCGATAAAGTAGCACTTCACTCGTAAGGTGTGAATATCTACTCAGCGTAACAAGACTAGCACCCTCCGTATCATTTACCCCTCCTTACTAATATTTCTTATCCTTAAAGTCCACTTACGAGGTTAACTTTTGTTTTCTTTTGTATTAGTGTTTAAATCCTATGTTCCTAATATCGGTCATATAAAACATATGGCCGATATTAAAAACATAGTTTTTAAAACATTTATGCAACTTTATCATAAAGACAACATAGTTGTTAACTTTATAAGTTTGTAAAGCTCAAAATCATCGAGAGATTTGTGAATGCCCATCCCCTTTGATTGGAGACGGGCACTCATTCTGTAGTCCACCCGTTAAGCCTGCAGAACAACCTGAATGTCGTGTAGATTCCGACTGTAGCCGTTTTGAGGCCTGTATTTCTGAAACATGTAGAGATCCTTGCCTGACTGATAGCCCCTGTCATTCTACTCAAAATGCACTGTTTTGGAATCTTTTTCACTCAAACTGTATCTTGTGCGTGCTCAGACGGCACTCAGGTTGGACCGAATGGAGAATGCATGACAGTTCAACTGCAAAGCGAATGTTCAATCGACAATGACTGCAACGAACGTGACATGTGTCATGGCGGCAGTTGTATAAATGCTTGCACTGTGGAGACTTGTGGCTTAAATGCTGACTGTTCTGCACAGAACCACCGAGCAAAATGTACCTGTTATCCAGGATATTTGGGAGATCCGACCAACGCTTGTTATCCGGCTCCAACGGAGGCAGACCCCTCTTTCTGGCCATCAATCCCACCACGCTCAACAACAGGGCACAACTGACTGCACTCCTCTCTCAAGCGTCCAATTTCAAAGTTTCATCCGAATCCGTTCCGTACTTTTTGAGTTATCCTGCTGACAAACAAACCAACCAACCAACAAACCAACACCAGTGAAAACAATACCTCCTTCGGCGGAGGTAAATATCCATTCAACATTTTATGGGAAATTAAAGGACTAACAAAAGACAATCTCAAGGACCGACAGTCCTAAGGATCGATAGAACCGTTCCTAAGACTGGACTGGACTTTGGATAAGTAATGAGCTAAACTTTTTGTCATAAACAATTACAACAACAACATAAAATAGAACCAGCAATAAGTTGTTACTCATTATATCGCATTTTCTAATATTTTAGGGATTTGCTCATTATTTCAGAACATGTTATTGAATGATGTTTGGAACCTTGCTAGAGGATGGCATAAACATAGATTAAAACTCAATTTATAATCTAAATCTCCTAAAATAATGCGCCAAAGTTAGATGCATATTCCATTCCAATTGTTTTGTTAGTACTTTCTTGTTGTTGTAACTTGCTTAGATGTTTACTTTCTTCAAAAGTATTTTGGTTGGCTTGTAACATATATCATAGTAATGACTTATGAGGGGCATTTCGTTGACTTTGATGAATTATTGATGATGATATATCACAGGCTCAGATTACCCTGACAGGGTCTAGGCATTCGGCTGGCTCGTGGTTGCAAATAAAAATAAGAATTACAACCTACTGCAATGTAGGCTTTTTTGCTCGATTACTTTTACATATTTTGTAATTTTAAAAAAATGAAGAAACGAAATGAATGGACCTGTCATATGAAACCATGAATCACAACTACAAAACTGTGTCTTCACACACACACACACATATATATATATATATATTATATATATATATATATATATATATTATATATATATATATATATATATATATATATATATATATATATATATATATATATTAGGGATGCAAAAAGTTATTTTTTTTGTACACAACGGTACTACTATATTTCAATTAACATCCATCTTTTAAAAACTTTTTATTTGCAAATTCCTTAAATAATTTGATAACAATATTGGAATGCTATTTTCCAAATCACAGTAACTCTCTAAAAAATAAAATTAGTTTTGACACTTGTAAATAATTATATGTAAATAAAAAGGCAAACCTGTTTTTTTTCTTCGTAACAAATCACAATAATATTAAATACAACCTCAATAATCACCTAAAAGTAGTTACTTAATATGATCAATACTTCGTCCTACTTAATTTATCTTTTCTTTACTTTCATGCCAGATATCGAAATTATAAAAACTGTTCTGAAATGCATTGACATATACCAAAAATATATTACATATTGATTATAGTCAATAGACTCGAAACAAAAAAATATAGCCGCTTAAATAGAACACTAAAATATGGCCAACTTTTTGAAATATACAGCCGATTTTTTGGAATAGTACGAAAGATATATAAATTATAAAAACGGATTTGAAATGCTCAGATATAGTAGAGAAAAATAAATACTTCTGACATTTGTGGTTATTCTTACTTTCCACAAAGATAACTGTGCCTGAACCATTAGAAATGATGAAAATCCTGATTTTCAAAAAAAAGCCATAAAGTCCAAACCTTTTTTCAGACGATATTTTTAGTGGCATTTTTGGAATCTACGTAAAAAATGGGACTCAATTTAGAAATTTCAGCCCAGGGCCAAAATCTGGTACATAGT